AAGACCCTGAAACTTCTTTTACAAAATCCATATAATATTGAGACACAAAAAAGATCTACATGATTTTGATATTGTGGTGAGAGCGCAACTCATGATGTATGAGTTAGGCGCACGTCATGTGGTATTGAATCCTTCCCTTAAGTGAAAATGGTAAAGGGTAATCCCATTATCCATCGTGTTTTGAACCTTGCGACATTTGTCTCGGGGATTACTCAGTTAAAAAGATGAGACACAAAAGAACTTGCTTCCTAGTGTGTGGATCAATCAAATGTGACAAAAAGGATAGCTAATTTAGAGAATTTGAGTTGAACTAAAAAGTAAAATCGTGAGAACCATGAAAAAAGGCTATACATAATGGAAGAAAAATAAAATTGATGAGAAGGTAAATATATTATTTAATTTAGTGAGAAAAATTTATCCAACTAACTCACTCAATCTTACATCTACCAAATGTTAAAAATTATTAAAATTTAAAATCTTTTATTAAAAATTATATAAATATAAATTATGGAGTATATATTGATCCCGTTTGGATTAGCTGATTTGAAGTAGCTGATAAGCATTAGGTGCTGAAAAGCACTCTCAAGTGCTGAAACTGATTTAATAAATAAGCAGTTACGTGTTTGGATACAACTGCTGAAATTGATAATAAGCTGCTGCAGTATTTTATAAAAAAGTGCTGATAAGCTCTTTTTCTGTTAAAATGGCTTAGATAACCTTAGAACTGTTTACAATTATGTGGGCGTAATTTCTTCAAAATTTAAGATTCCAGATCAATTCAAATACAAAATATTCTATTTGTCATTTTATTTTAATACAAATGTACTTAGATAAGATAACTTTTATGATAAATATAATTTATTTTATGATAAGCATATAATCATAAGTTATAATAATTAATAAATTGACAAAAGTTATTCAGTAAAAAATAAAGCTAAATAGGACAAAATATTTGAAGAGAAACAAACATTATTCATCACCACAATATTTCAAAGATTAATACACAATCACATAGATACAAATATGCAAAGGAATAGAGAATTTGCTTATTAAATAGTCAATGAGAATTGCAGACTTGAAGAGGCAGGGGGGAAGGGGGTTTAGGTTGAAACAATACTTGAGGCAGTGAGTATCGATGTAACAGTTTTGTTCTAAAAGAATATTTTAAGGAAAAATAGTAAAAATCTTGGTCAAACTTAAAGTGCTTATAAGTTAAAATTTGATAAGCTGGGGGTGACCAGCTTATGGCTTTTGGCTTATTTTTGACTTATAAGCACTTGGCTTATAAACACTTTTAACTTTACCAAACGCGTAGATAAGCCGAAAAGTGCTTATAAGCTAGTTTGACCAGCTTATAAGCTTAGCCAAACACCTTCATTATATGATAATATAGTAATGCTTCTTATTTTTGGTGCCTTAATTATTTGGGGGCCTAAGGCAAGGGTTTCACTTGCCTTACCCTAGAGCCGCCCTTGGTTTATGATTTACAGAAGATATCCTACAAGACCCTTCTAACTAAGCTTAGTAGTAATTACAAGTGGATAATATTAACAAAGATACAATAACACTAAGGACACACGATAAATTCAGTGCTTGGATCTGGTACTTTGTTCTGTTGCCACTTTGTTCTTCAAGCCTTGGAGTTAACGGAGGCGGCAACACACTTGAGAGAGACTTAATGATTTAGGGTTGCAAGTGTGTGTTTTCCCTTGACTCATGTTGGTAATATATAGGTGAGGTCATTGGGATGATGTAACCAAGTATCCGGTACATAGCATGCTCCATGAAGTGACTGCTATGTTGGTAATATATAGGTGAGGTCATTGGGATGATGTAACCAAGTATCCGGTACATAGCATGCTCCATGAAGTGACTGCTGCACCGTAGCGTGTGTAGTGCAACAGTGTAGCAACTTTAACAGCTGTAAAGAGTTGTCTTGTAGTGTGACCGAAGGAACTGATAGCCATCTGTTCCCTCTGCCGTTTCTTTATCTGATATTATTGGAACTTGTGTATTGTGACCGAAGGAACTGATAGCCATCTGTTCTTTCTGCCGTTTCTTTATCTGATATTATTGGAACTTGTGCAGACACGTGACTTGTTGTTTTGAGCACTTTGAGGTTGTGTAACAGATTCCTATCTAGTTCTCATATGAAGTTTGTTAAATAACCAGAATACAAATGCACATAACTTATCAATTTCCCCCTTTTTGATGATAACAAACGTAGAATTGAAGTTCCCATGAGAACCAGATCTCCATACAATTTACCCTGTAGATTAGTTTTATTTCCCTTAGAACATGTTTCTCTTTCTGTTCCCCCTTCAATTTTTCATTTTTCTTCCCCTTTTGGCATCATAAAAATAAGAAAAGTAAACTTCTATTAACTCTTCATTTAAGAACGACTGTTAATTGTTATTCGTTGATTACACAATGTCATTAGTACGGTTCTTCTTCCAGTACTAGTACGATAAATAGGATAAATTTCATATTTTGGGGACAACTTTTCCAACCATTTCCCTATTTTTCCCCCAAAAGAGAATATTCTTTTTTATATTCTTCTCTCTCTTCTATATTATATTATTATCTTTCATTTCAATTTTATTTTTAATTACCATTAAACTAATTCCATCTTTTATTTTTATTAATTTGTAATTTCCATTAAAACAACTCCATAAAATTTAAATAATATAAATTGTAAGCAATTATTATAGATTAACTAATAAATCAAATAAAAGTGAAATCATTGCGATACAAGTAGTCAAGAATATCCACAGTCACAACCACAACAATCCTCAGCCCCATTCACTCAATACTATAATGATTTTGGTGTATCTGGAAACGACATACCTCCCTACTAAATTATTATGCTATTTACCGAAGTTTCAATTTTTATGTATTTTGATTTAATGTATTTTCAATTGTCATGTATTTCCAATTTTAATGTATTTATATTTTGATGTATTATCTCTTTATATATACCTAATTATTTTTATGTAATATCTTTATAATATTAATTTTACATCTTAACTTTGGCGTATAATTTTGATAAACTAATTTTCATGCATTTATTATTTTTATGTAAAATTATAAGTTAATTTTATTATAAGTTATAATTGTAAAAATATATATAATCATCTCAAAAAATGAATGGTGCAAATATAAAATATTAGATGTTGCTAAAATTGAAAGGTGCGAATATAAAATATTAGATGTTGCTAAAATTGAAAAGTGAAAAGTGAAAATTGAAAAATAGTGTACCCCCATATTTGAGGAACACTATTCATCTCCCATTTTTGGGGCAAAAATGGGGGAGGGTTGGAGCTTCATTACCCCAAAAATTGCCCCTATTATGGGGAAATGGGGTAAGGTTGGAGATAGCCTAAGGCCTCATTTGTTTTTATTTAAGATTAAGACGTCTGAATCTGAATACACATCCGAATATCAAGATGTGTATTAAAATTAAGACATCTGAATCTGAATACACATCTGAATATATTATGATGTGTATTAAGATCTGAATAGAAACAATTAAGACTGTTTGATTTTTAACATCTGAATGTATAAAATTTATCTTTATCTAAAATTAATAAATATAAAATTCAAATGAAATACTAACTAATCCAATATTCTATCAATAAAATATATAGTTTTTTTAAAATATGATAGTTGTTGGTTGTGATGGCTAACGGGTGAATGCCGAATAGAGGCGGTGGTTGTTTTGGTTGATGATGGTGGTTCGTGCTAGTAGCTAGTAGTGATTGGTAGTGGTGGCAATTATGATTGAGGATGATGGTGGTGGGTGGTGATAGTTAATAATGGCAAGTGATGTTTGTGAGCACGTGATTTTTGCCTCGCATGATTTACTCCTACAGGATTCTTAAAATTAGGATTTTTCTTTTAATTATTTGATTTTTAGGATTTAATTGCATAAGTTTGTGTGTGTTTGCATTTGTGTGTGCATTTTTAGTTTGACATAATTCATAAAAAAAATACAAAAATACGCATTGCATTTGCATTTAGGATTTAATTTTACATATTTTAGATTAATTAGTAATTATGGTTTTACAAAAATACAAAAAATCACAAAAAATTGATTTATTTGCTTTGTTTAATTTTAGCTTTGAATTTTGTTCAGTTTTCCTTTAAATTGGTATTTAATTAATTGTGTTGATTATTAATTAGAGCTTAATATAATTGGGTAGGTTAATTTAGTTTTTAGAGTTAATTTAAATTTTTAGTTTTAATTTGAAAAGAAAAAGAAAAGAAAATAAAAAGAAGAAGAATTAAAGAGAATCAGATTTTGGGCCAAATCAATTAGAATTCCCCAAGCCCAGTTTAAATTACCCTTAAACCCGTCCAAAAAACCTTCAACCCACCCAAACCTAGCCCCGACTCCGGTCCACGCTCTATCACAACCCGGATTTTTNGTGCATAATTATTAAATATTATTATATATATTATTTATAAATTTTGGGGCCCTAAGGCCATTGTGGCATTAGGCTCCAGCCGGCCCTGGATTCCGATAATATAGGTTCATTAAAGGAGTAAAACTTTGGATGGGATGTTTTCCATTTCGATATCTCTAGTTAAAGACGAAAAGATGTAATCACTCTACTACTCCCCTTGTAAATTTCTTTTTATCTATATTCGATTTTGGTTGGCCTTCACTTCTAGCCACAAGTTATCCCCGTATTTTATCAATAAAGTGTTTAATCCTCCAAGATCAACTATATGTCCATAGTGAAAAATATTATTCCATCCGTCCCAATTTATGTGATACTATTTGGCTGGACATAGAGTTTAAAAAATAAAGATTTTTTAAAAACTTATAATATAAAATAAGCCATAAATATTTATATCATTATAAATTATCAATTAAGAGTTTAAATTTTTTAAATAAAATTATCTCTAAACATAAAAAAAAATTCTTTTCGATATAGACAAAAAATACCAGCACATAAATTAAGTATTATTTGAAACAAATAATACTTACGTCCACTTTTTAGAAATTTCAGATCCGTCACTTCCGTGAAAATAACCCAAACAGTTAGATAGGAGCCAGAAGCGAGAAGTGTAGCATTTGGTGACATCAAAGGCCGAAAACTGAAACTTCTATCAAACAGTTGGGCCTCCATCTTCCTCTCTTCTTCTGTTTCTTGCAGCAGGGAAGAAGCGGCAGGCACCGGCACCGGCACCGGCACCGGCACGGAATTGTTTGGTGAAATTCAAAGGCCAAAAAATAAACTCTCATCGATCGTAAGTTTACAAAATAATCTCCACTTAGTTTTTAACGTTGTACCAGAGAACAATTCTGTTTTATTCCATCGAAACCGTGTTCTACAAGGTTGTCCCTTTTCACTCCCTTCGTCTATAAATCCATTAATCGTAGGACTCTATAGAGGAGAATCATGGCGGCTGCAGTAGCTAACGGGGTGAAGAAAGAACAAATACGGCCTAATAAGTGTGCGGTTATTAGTGTGCCGACCAATCCAATGGTGACACCTCTTTTAACAGATCTTTATCAGTTTACTATGGCCTATTCTTATTGGAAAGCTGGAAAACACGATGAACGAGCCGTGTGAGTGTCTGCATTTCCCGTTTTCACCCAAATGCATCTTTATTTACCATGCATTTAATGTGTTTGATACAATGAATTAATGACAATTATCCACGAGGTTCGAACCATGCGCCACTGGCGCAGTGGCGGAGCCACATGCAAGGAAGGGGTTCAATTGAATCCCTTTAGTCAGAAAGTTATACCGAGCAAATATGGTAAAAAATATTCTTTTTATGTGTATATAAAATTTTTAATCCCTGAAGATAAGAGAAATGCAGGTTCAGATCCTAGGTATGGTATATCTGGATTTTTTTGAATCCCCTTGTCAGAGTTTTTGGCTCCGCCACAGCACAACTGGCCCTCAAGAATTTCTTGGTTTTCAAAAAAAATATAAATAAATTAATGACAATTATTGAGTTTCAATTCTGGCATTAAATTATTGATTTGGATTGTTGATCGAAGTATCGAACTGTAAAATTGTTATTGATCATTGTCTCGATTGAAGGTGACACCTCATAAATGTTTCTATGAGTTCTTTTTTTCATTTTTTTTAGTGAAGATGGTAAGTATCAACACTTCAAGATTTCTAACTGTTTATCTCAATGCCTTATTGAAAAAAAACTGGAAACATTTATTTATTAATTTTATGTCGGCAACATGCCTACGTTTGGTCTAATTCTTGCTTCTTCCTAACATGTGAAAGCGTTTGGAGTAATGGCTGATATTCAGATTCGAACTCAGGATCTCTGCTTGTCCACCATATTTATTTGAGTGAACAACACTGTTAGAGAGGGACACCATTATTTGTTTATTTTAGGTCTACAACACTAACATTCTTATTTTATTTTTCTCAAGCAAACGTTTTTTCATCTAAAATCAAGTGAGCTACAAAATGGCTTATTCCTATCTGATTGAATATTTCAGGTTTGACTTGTATTTTCGGAAGAATCCATTTGGTGGTGAATACACAATTTTCGCTGGGTTAGAAGAATGCATAAAATTTATTGCTCATTTCAAATTAACTGAGGATGAGATAGCTTTTATCAGGTCATCATTGCCCCCGACGTGTGAGGTAGATTCATTATTGACAAAGTAAATAAGCAGCATTATGTGTGTATAGTTATTTTTGGCTAGTGACATAAATATGCTTGTATCCTTTTTTTCCTTTTAGGGTTAATAGTTGTTTTTATGTTTTATATGTCATTATAGGAAACTTGTGCATGAATTCTGGAGGATTAATGATTTTCCTGCTTCATGATACCTTAGTGAAATATGTTATCTCCGTTAGTATAAAACCTGGGTGATTAATGAGATAACTATAAGCATGAGTTGCTATGAGTGAACTGGTGGCTCATTTCGAATTGTTACTTCTATTCTAGATGTTGTTTTAGAAACATATCGAAGTGTATCTCGATAATTTTGGACAAAATAGTCTTCTTTATAATCTTGCATTTGCTGTTTTGCTGTTGTTTAATCTGTGCATTACAGTCCATGCATTACTAATCCCTGTATTATTAATGCCCTATATTACAATCCCTGCACAATTTATTTCTAAATCAAAAGACCTCTTAAAGAATAAATTGACATACTTACAGTCTTAAGCGCATGAGTAATAAGCATCTGTGTATGGCTTTTGTAGGGTGCCTTCTATGACTACCTTCGAGGAATTAACTGCTCAGATGTTGAGATATATTCTATACCTGAAGGATCAGTTGTCTTTCCCAAGGTACCGTTGATGAGGATTGAAGGGCCAATTGCTGTAAGTACCGATTAAATTATCCTTTTATTCATGCTTGAATGTGAAGGATGCATTGTTCCCAGTAATTATGCTCCATGCATTTTCTCAAATTTATGTCCAATTTTAATGTGCCTGGTGATTGCTTTGAATCTCAAAAGGTGGTTCAACTACTGGAAACTGCTTTTGTCAACCTCATAAACTATGCATCGCTAGTCACTACTAATGCTGCAAGACATCGTTTTGTTGCTGGAAAGTCCAAGCTGCTGCTGGAATTTGGGCTTCGAAGAGCACAGGTCTTTTTATTTTTGATATTTATTTCTGATAACTTGAAATTGGAAGGGTCTCTCTTACAAATTTTGCTGTGATCTTTGCTTCTTCATGAGTAGGGTCCTGATGGTGGTATATCAGCTTCGAAGTATTGCTACATGGGAGGATTTGATGCAACAAGGTGATTCCTTACACAAGTCTCCTGTTGTAATCTGCTTTCAGGAAATAGTGCCACTATCTATTCTTCTTTCTAAGTGAGATGCAGTTTTTGAATTCATTCTGGACATCCTTTTTTCTAAATTTATATTTTGAATAAAAAATTTTAAGAATCTTACAACCAGTCATAACATTGCAAATGTGCCACTGTATAACCGGTATAATTAAGAACACTCTCGACCTCTGTTGCACGGACTCTCCAAAATACTGCCGCACTCGTGTCGGATTCTCCTAAAATACATTGCTGTTGGAGAATCCAACACGCACTCGGCGACATTTTCGGAGAGTCCGAACAACATAGCTCTCGACTGCTAGACTTCTGAAAAAGTAGTTCATAGGAAGTCACCATCAGCAACAACAACAACTAGGTCTCAATCCCAAGCACGTTGGGCTCAACGATATGAATCCTCATTGTCTTCATTTAAGCTCATATGTATAGTGAGGATCCATCATATATTGACTTGTTATAAGGTGACTGCTAGCCTACTGTAACCCTCCTCTTTTATCGGGGTAATGAACCAGCAAGAGAGCAAGCTCACACAATGTATAAGAAGTCACCAGCCTCATTAATTCTTTTTATTTAAAAAAAAATCGAATGCTATTAAGTTCCAAAATTTATTTTAATAGGTAAAGGATTTGTGTTAGGTCTTCCAGAAACAAGATTGAACATTTTCTAAAAAGGATCACTACACTGGAAAGTCAAGTGCAATTTGACCTCGAAACACTAGAATAGGCTCTTGTTATGGGTGGATGACATCAATTGAGATCATTCTAACATAAGTTTTCATTTACCTTTTGCTTTACGATGTGCTTTGATTAATAAGATGAATAAATTCTCTTGATAAGCAACTCTAACTGCTGAGATTATCTTCAACTGCTTTATTTGCAGCAATTTAATGTTCTTCTTTTAGCTTTTTTAAAAAAATGTTTGAATTTGAAGAATGTGAAACCCAGAACATTGTGATACTTGTTTCCTTTCTTTTTGAGATTTAAAATTTTATCATATAAATCTAGCCATGAGGATCATATCTTCCTTGGAAACTTTGTTTGACAGCAATGTGGCAGCTGGGAAGTTATTTGGAATCCCGTTGCGTGGAACACATTCCCATGCCTTTGTTAGCTCATTTCTGGTAGGTGGAACCTTTGCGACAACTTTGCCTTCTGTGTAATATAAGTGGTATTTTTAGTGTGCAAGTGTTTCAAAAGTTTGTTTGTCACACACAACTCACAATGATATTTGCTTAGAGACTTGGGCTTTTATAAGGAGCATAACTGAAAGGTGTTTTATAACATCAAATCTTTTAATTTCATCTTTGTCCTTTTCCATGAATGCTAGTTTGCCTTCATTCCACATCTATTATTATTAGTATTATCATCACTGTTACTGTTATTTCCGTAGATGCAGTATGCAGATCATCATCTAGATTCTTCCTAGTTAATTTAGATGCACAAATACCATTTATTCTGTAACACATCTGGGTTAGTCGTAGAAATAAGCCTGATTTGGATATTGGGAAAAAATTGATTTTGGTCGCTAAAATTTCTTTTTCTTGAAATCTGTAATAGAGGCTTGGGATTGACGTATAATTGATTTTGATGTGAACTCTGTAATAGTGCCCTTGATTGTTGGAAGGGGCTGCCAAACAAAGATTTCTCTGAGAACAAGTATAATTACAGTGACATATACTTGCATCACTTGATAATCTTAGTCATGGATCGTTGCTTGACAATGAGATATTTGAGCATCTTTACGATAAGTTGAAGTGAAATCTGCTTTATGTGAATTAGAATAATCACATATGTGCTTCTTGTTCTCCATATGGTAAAGCAATCTTCATTTCTGTCTTTAGCACTTCTTGGCAAGTGAGTTGTTACCTGTCGACTAGTGAAGCCAGGTTTTTGACATGGTTTCTAATTTCAAGGTTTGGTTCTTTCAATTGATTGGTTATATCTGGTTCATCTTGTTCATAATGAAGATAAACACAACTAAAATACAGACTATCTAGATTATAATGGTCTCTAGATGCTCAGTACTTATAATTTTATGCTCAATGTCTCACGCTGGCTCAAAGTTCTGTTTTCTAATTTAATCTGATATTATGCAGAGCCCAGACGAGATCACAGATAAATCACTTAAACATCATGATGGCTCTAGTGTTTGCAAGGATTTTGTTAGTCTGGTAAAGACGTGGCTTAATAAATTAAAGGTATTATTTCACCCACTTAATTTAAATGCTGTGTCCCTGTTGCCTTATTATTTACTTCCATCTTCAGTCATCAGATTTTGTTCTAAATTTTCATTTCATTCTGCTTTTGCGCTTTGACATGTGTCCCTTCCTATCAAGTATCCTTTATTTTGGCTTCACCTTTTTTACTTTGCATTTTAATCTACTCTGGGCTTTTATCTTCTATGATCACTCAAAATTTGATTAATCTAAGAAGTGTTGGGGGTTTATCCAATTCAGATGGTTGTCCGGCTGTAAATTTTTTCGCTCTTTACCGGTGTAGTCCCATTGCGTAAGGGTAATAAGTTGTCTTTTCTGATCTTGTGAAGTGAATGCACCTTAACCTAAGTGGTAGCTTGAAGCGGGGAGCAGTTGAGTAGATAAGTGGCCAATTGCTAACTTGTGATCCTCAATGTGTTATTCCCATTTGAAAGAAACTTTTTGGATAAATTTCACTGAGTTGAGTGAGTTTAGTCCACATGCCATTTTAAGCGGCTGCACAATAAGTGGTAGCAGATCGTTCTAGGTCGTGCCCCTTCATCCCTCCCATTCCCATTCGATTTATCTACTTCCAAAACAAGTTAGATGTCAGAAATAATAACATAACTCACTAAATATGCCATTTTAAGCGGCTGCACAATAAGTGGTAGCAGATCGTTCTAGGTCGTGCCCCTTCATCCCTCCCATTCCCATTCGATTTATCTACTTCCAAAAAAGTTAGATGTCAGAATTAATAACAGAACTCACTAAATATTACTCCCTCCGTTCCAATTTATGTGAACCTGTTTGACTAGGCACAGAGTTTAAGAAAAAATGAAGACTTTTGGAATTTGTGGTCCTAAATGAGTTAAAATGGAGCCCAGAGTATTTGTGTGGTTAATAAAGCTTCTCATTAAGGGTAGAATTGTAAGTTTAAGCTAAATTGTTTCCTAATTTAGAAAGGGTTCATTCTTTTTGGAACGGACCAGAAAGGAAATAGGTTCACATAAACTGGAAAGGAGGGAGTATTATATATGAGTGATTACATGGAAACAATTTCATCTATTGCAGACTTCTCTTGGCACTTCCATAATGAAGCTGAAAAACAAAACAAAACAAAACAAAACAAAATCTTCTGAGTATCATCTGGGATTTTCTTAGTTCCTGAACAGATCTTTATTTAAATACTTCTAATATAGTTAAACGTACTCCCTTATTTTCCTGTTTTCCCTTCCTCTATCAGAGGTTGCAAGAAATTGATACTCTATCAGAATTGAGCAACACTCAAATCTTGATAATCATCAAAATTTTAGTTGATGAAGGTGGTTGATGCTTCTTTTCTTCCATTTTGAGCTTGGATGTGAATTTTATGATGACTGCTATCTTCAGGGGTCGCGCATATTAGGTGGAATTTTCAGTGAGACAAACCAAAGTGAGTTAGCAGCTTTCACCTCATATGGGCTCGCCTTTCCTGGAAGCTTTTTGGCCCTTGTAGACACTTATGATGTAAGTGCACCTCTAAATTTCTGATGCCACTGCTTTACTTTGTTTTCTGTTTGGGACTTGACCTTGTTATCCATAAACTAAGGATGTGTAGTTGAAAGAGCACAAATTTAAGTTGCGTCAGTACCTTAAACTAAGGAAATCTATTTGGGAAGAGAACAGTTTATTCATGGTATCCAGTTATCAGCTGAGGCCTAAACTTCAGCTTATAGGATTATTTTGATTTAATTTTATAGTTTGTATTATGGTGCATTTCCACTCTGTTCTTGGATTACATTCTGCTTTGGCATCCTATCAACTTTCTTGTTGATGTTGACCTTCTATAACATGTACTTTAACAGGTCATGAGAAGTGGTGTTCCAAATTTTTGTGCAGTTGCGCTTGCACTTAATGATTTGGGGTAAGTGCTTCACTTGATAAGTTCTATTTTGGTTTACACATTTTGCCTTTTTTTCTTATGCATGTCCTCTACTTCATATGCTGCTGAATATATTGAAAGGTGTGCTATTGAAAGTTTTGTAATATTGCTCGTATGGAAGAGGAAATGGCAGCTGGAACTCCTAGTGCTATTTTAAATCTGATTCCCTCATGCGTTGTATTGTTCAGTTGATGATCTAACTACAATTTAAAGAACAATTTATCTGGAAATGGATCTCACAGATTACTGAAGATGTTGATCCCCATCCCTCCCCACACCCC